TGTTGTATGCATGCTTTAATAACAACTATTTAAGATCAGACTTTTTTTTTTCTTTGAGTAGTTTTTTTAATTCACCAGAACACAAACTGGCCGGGGGAAACCTGTTGAGCTGTCGGCCAGCGCAGTAAAGTGTGAAAGGGCGTAGCGGATCACGAATCGGTAGAGGAAAACCAACAAAAAGACAGGATTATATAAATGAGGCCCATTAAGTTGATGTGTAGCAACTACAGACCCAGGAAGGAGTTAACATTCACCGCTTAAGCTATGTTAGGTGATAATGCCTCAGCTTTGCTATAATGCGTTGCTGCAATAAATGTATTGATCTATATTACTTTAAAGCTGAAACAGAGTATTTGATCCTGGGCTGTGGATATGCTTTCTAAATCCTGCCCTGTAGTGCTTGTTTCATTTCTCTGTAAGTAAGGGTAATACAGCATTTAAAAAAAGAACAGAGCCGAGTCATTGATTTCGCCTTCTTTTCCCTCGCGCTGTTTGGGAGAGGAGGGAGGTGAACGGAGAGATGAAGGATGCCTCTGCACGGCCGTGCCCACGTTGTCGTTGCCGCTGTGTTCCTTTGGAGAGGCGTGCTACTGTAGCGCCTGCCGGGGCGCAGGCAGTGACCCCCCGTTGCACTTGGGCTTGTCTGAGACGGATACCGTAATTACGCCATTACCCCGCTAATAGGAGCGTTTGTTATGCGGTGGCTGAGCGTTTAAAGCCACCAAGCACAAATGAAATACGGACTATTAGCTGGGTCTTTAATAAATTTCAGTCCATTAAGGAGGGGAGTTGGAGAACAAGGTTGCCTGGCGTCTCTTTTAAATAGCCTGCCTTCCTCTGCGTCCCCGAGTGAAAACAGCTTTATCAACCATTTTATTGCGAGTGGGGCTTTATGTTTGAAGCACAACAGACAGGCTCTCCTCCATAGTCACCTAATAGGAGATAAAGGGTCCATGTCCCATCTCCTTGGTTCAGACCTCAGGCGTAATTCACACCTAAGGTCACACAGCATGCAGGAGCCCTTTGCTTCAGCCTGTTGAAAACCCCCAGACCAAACCTCCTCAATGAGCCGTCATGGACACAGCAGATAAGGGCACAAGCTATCCAGGGGCTTAAAGTCAGATTGAGCTGATGGGGCTAAAGCTCAGTAGCTTTTACAGCCTGGCTGCATGATAAAAATATGACTTGCGGTATTACTGCTTTGTACAGTATGTGATGGAATGCAGCGCAGTGAACTGCTGATTTATGTGGTGCTCTCTCCTCATATCTGCTTCTGCACCGACACCCTTCATGGGCTTGTTCTGGTGGTGGACTAAAGTCGGGACACCGGTTCACAAAAAGGAAACAAACCAGGCTTCAGCTGGTCCAATAATCAAAACACTACCGGTTCAAATCTTGGGTCATTTCCCAGGCATGGGACTGCCCAGGCCCGGCTGTCTCTGCTAGGGGATAAGGTGAATGTGAGTCAGTGCGATGCAGTGTCCTACATTTTCCTCACTGGGTGCTTTGTGAACTTTGCTCTCACGCGAGCCAGGAGCTGTGTTTGTCCTCCCCCAGCGATGTTCCAGCTGTTTTGCCGCCTGTGATGCAGTCAGTGTGCTCCAGAGGCACGATGAACCTTCGAGTGGACATGTCAGAGGGACACAGCTGCGAATGTCCTGCCTTTGTCTCTCCTGAGCTGGCACAGAGGGCGCTGCTGTGGCACTCTAATGGGAGTTTGGCCAACTTAGAGAATTCTGGAGGGGGGGGGCGGGCCTCATGAGGAGCTCAACCAGCAAAACTGCTCTCCCGATCTCGGGTTCGAGCCGGGGTCCGGTCACTAGTCGACTGTCCCCAGAGCGTGGCGTCAGTCGGCCAGGGCTGTGACACAGTGACCTCTGTGACACCCCTTCCCCGGTCAGCGCTGAGCCCGGTACAGGGCTGTAAGACCAGACAAGGTGGAGTCAGAGGGGGAGTCTGTCTACACCCGCTCGCTCTCCCCTCAGTTATTGCGGAAAATCGTAACCCTGAACACCTTGCTGGTCACTGCTGCCCACGAGCAGTGTGCGGTGTCCTCACACCCAGTCGCCCTGCTGCCCCAGGGTCAAAGGCGCTGAGAGGGCAGGGGTGTTGCGTGCAGTGGGGGTGGGGCTGTTCTGAATCTTTTATTTCAAAATAAGGTTCTGTTCTCAACCGAAAACAACAAAAGCTAATTTAATCTTGAGCTCTTTAGGGGCTCTTTCAGCACAGTGCTCATAAGTATTGCCAATTAAAGTCATTATTAGTGAGGGGTATGATTAAAAAAAGAAGGAAATTAAAAGAGGATTTTGTTTGTTTAGTTTTGTGCTTTTACAGGGATATAGTGATGCAGGGCTGCATGTCCTGCATGGTTTGTCTCGTTAAATATCCACGGCAGGAATCGGCTGCTCTGGGTGCCTGGTGCTGTGTGTCTTTATTAAAGTTCTGATGTCATTTCTGTTCATAGTTGGGTCAGAGCTGATGTGAAACCAGCTTAAATTTACAGAAATGCGTAAGAAGCAGAAGGCGCATCAATATCAATGTTCCCGTGGAACTTCAGAACAGCGTATTTTAATGTAGTATAGCTTCCAAGTGAATTGTCTTTTTTTTTTTCCCGGGAAAAAAAAACAAAATAAAAGATAATAGATTCTCTGCACGAGGCAGCCTGTATTGCCTCCGTCCCTCGCTTGAACTGCGTGCGGTAACGTTAGCGTCATCTTGGCATGAATAAGTAATGGGGAAGTTTTTCTGAAAAATGTTCCTAAAGTTAATGATACGCTACTGTCATGGGCGCCAGTGGACTTGATGTTAATTTTTTTTTCCTCTCTGCGCTAAACTGCCAGTCGGCTGTGCTGAATGGACTTTTTAATAAGTTGATAGCATTGCTGGCTAAAGGGAAGTTTATTTAAAGGCTAGTATTCTAGCATAAACCTCTTCTTTTTAATCTCTATGTCGGAATCACATTTTGATCTAAATTCAAATTGTCACACAATCACTAAGCACCACGTACTGTACAGCGCCACCAATTATCATTAGAATGTCAGGTTGTCAGGTGTACTGTAACTTGTGGGAGCCATGGTTTACACGAGCACAGTATATTCTGATATATGTGCTCCAGAGACTGAGGCATAGCAGGACTGACAGGGGACAGAAATCTACAAAACCGAGAGGTAAATATATACTACATATATCAGTATATCAGAATGTTCTGATTGCAACATGGGTGGAAAGACTGTGCTTTTAAGATGCTTATAGCTGACCTACTGTATCTGAAGGCGATCGACTTCTCCTGCAGGGTTTAAGGGTTGCCTGAGTGCCTGTCATTGATCCGAGTAACTTATTAACCAAAGCTAGCGATCTTGTCATCGTACTGTGAGTGACCCCCGATATTTATTCGTTGTTCTGTTGTTTGATACCTTCTGTATGTCTGAAACGTACTGTATGCAAAAGAGTGACAGAGGCAACACGATCGTACAACAGAGCTCCACTTTGATCAGCGCTAAGCGTGGGAATGTCAAGGCTATTTAAATGCACAATAAACCGAAATGACTCTAATGAATTTGCTCATTTTTTGTAATCTTATTTTTTTTTACAGAGCATCTTAGCTCTTAAGATTACTGCCCCATTCCACCTACCACCCCCCCCCCACCCAATGTTGTAATTCAAGCTGAACAGAGTAACCTTTTAATTCCATGAGTTATTTTATTGAATTAGCATCTTGCACTTTAAAAATTTATATGCTGTTTGTTGCTTGGTCTCTCTCTTTCTGTCTCCATGTACCCTGCGTCCTGGCGTCACAGGAAAACTCAGCCCCCACGCTGCTAATGTTCTCGAAAGCAATGAAATTAAACCACTGAACCAGTGCGTGTCGCAATTTCTGTCCCCCCGGGTAATTTAATTCCAGTGCGCATATTGATGAAGCCACACAGGCTCTCTTTCTCCGACACCCTGGTGGGTCTCGCCATCGTAGCATCTAAATAAAACTCCATGCGGAACATTTTTCATGTTTTCAAACAGCAGGATGGCACAACTTGAGGGGGTTTAGTTAATGCAGTATTCATGCTCAGAGGAAACGGAAGCAGGCGGCAACAAGTAACATTTGGTCACTGAAGTTTTTAAGGCTTTATTGAGTTATGTTACTCCAGGGTTTTTTTTGTGTGCATGCGAACTGCAGGGATGCCGTTGCTCAGCTTCTTGGGCTGAAAGTGAAGCCAGGACCTGACCCATGGGACAGTCGGTATCTCTTGTGGCACAGGCAACACGCAGGAAATCAGGACTTAGCAAGAACACCTCAGCTTAACAGACATATGGATACGGTTGAGCAGTGGGGTCCTTTATATTCTCTCTTTTAGAGTGACTGGGGGCTGATCTGCATCTGGCACAAAGTGTTCCATCTACTGCAGAGTGGGCACTTTGCCCATGGAAATATACCCGTGTTGTGCTTTATCTGTAGCTGTGCTGTAGGTCTCGGAGTGCCCTGGTCCAATGCAAGGTGCTGTGCCCTAGGAACGCAGTGACATTACATTTGTGGTGTTAAACAGAAATGAGAGCTTAATGCCTTACACTGAAAATGCTGCATGAATCCTTCATGTTCGTGTGTGCATGTGTGAACTATGGGCTAATGCACCAGCTTCGATCATGGAGGAAGTCGGCTTTCAGGAGAGAAGTGACAGTGCTCGTTTCTGTGTCACAGAGGTCTTAGGGTTAAGGAAACCCAAGCTTACACAGACACACATGTATCCCTGTCTTCGTTTGGCCTTTCCATTGACCATCATTGGCTATTGACTGTTCCAGACTGCACCCAAATGGAACTCCACATAGTGAAATTAGACCCGGAAAAAATGTTTTGGGGATTTTACGTTTTTTTTCCAGTTTCCTTTAAAAATAATTTCCTGTCTTTGTGGGGACATTGCCCCCATATTTATCCCTACATAGATAGTAATATGTATTAGAAAATAGTCGATTACATCACTCATTCACTGTTGTTTTTCACTTCCTGGCAGATTTTGAAGAAATTCCTGTGGTCGCAGCTCAGGAACTGAGTAACGTCTTGAAACAGGGCTACCTGGAGAAGAAACGAAGAGGTAGGAACCAGGATGCTTCAGATATTAAAGAGTCTTAACGTTTTT